TTATATATGCAATACATTATGTAAAATAATGTGTTTTTGATGCGAGGAGTCAGAGGAGAGCTTTCATTTTTCATTTCAAGTGACAATATTCAGTGGACCGAACAAAGCCCCTTTCTCTGAGCGTTTAGCTTAAACAGCATCAATGTTGCTGATTCCGTGTGTGCTCGACAATTGCTTCATGATAAAATCTTCCGAGCAGATTTTTGTCAGTTTGATATCTAATGTAAACATTTTCCCGCCAACCTACAATGCCACGCTGAGGCGAATACGGGAGCCCTTTAAGCTCAAACGTGTTAAGTTCCTTGGGCAGTTGCATTGCATCGAGTATGGTAGTTTTGTGAAATCCACCAGTTTGTTGCACATTAGAGTCAGATTGTGCTTTTATGCTGAACAACATTAGGTTGATATGAATTAAGATCAACCTAGAGCTGCTGGTGTGGAAATGCCCTCAATGACAAAGAAAGCTAAGACACATTATTTAGTAACACAGCTCGCTATCATGTAACAAAGTAAGAAAAGAAGTCGGCGAGCGTGTAAAAAGTATTTAATGTAGGGATTTCCTACTCAGAAATCAGCCCTAAAACGTGAATCGGATTATATTGGCCTGTATCTATAATATCTGATTTTAACATTGACAGAAGCTTCACAGCGATTGTAATAGCAGTGTCTATCAAAAGAGAAGCAGATGCTAACAAAAGTTTGTCATCTTCTTATTCATTATTTTCATTTCATACAATTAAAAAATATTTCTAGGTTTTTAAGCTTTATAACTCACTGATTAAAGCTAAATTGATCAGCTGTTCTCATATCTATTGTTGACTATGTTTCTCTGAGTAAATTCACTTGTTTAAGCCTTTTTTTTAGCATTGTACAACAGAATACAAGAAAAAAGAATATATTCAATCAATTTTGGTCAATATTCAAGGTTGTAATGATGTGTTGGAAGTTGCGTTGGGATACGCCTGATTCAAAGAATTAAAGTCATGGTTTAACGCAGCTCAGAATGACATGACAGAAGTTCTCACCACCAGTTTGCAAAGCAGCCACCAGCAGCTCTCGACTCTTGGTCCGCACATTGTCTGCAGTGACGGGGGCGGGGGGGAAGGAGGTCAACCGCTGGGGGGCGGTAGGTGTGGTGGGAGAGGTCGGGGTCTCCACTGATTTCTCCCTGGTATAAAGGAAGAAGGATAAGAAAGAGACAAACGTAGCAGTTTTAGGTAAGATTCACCTTGATGGGCGACTGTGAATAAAAGCTGAGTCATCACCTTTTCTCAGCTGTAACAGAGTCCTTGGAGGTAGAAGATGACCTGACAGGAGAGACGTCCTTCTTTTTCTCATCAGACTTCCCTTCTGCACCTTCTTTGAGACAAGACAGATAAAACAAACACATGAGGACCAGAATTCCTTCTATCTTCATCAGAACATCTCGATCAGGGAAACCCAAAGATTCTGAGTCATGACAGAATCTCATATTTAAGTAAGGTGATCGGGAAACTGATCAGTGGAACATTTTCCATTTGTGATTTTGGCCATTATTGCTGTTAAACCTCTAATTTTTGGAATCTGATAATGGACCCTTTCCGATCAGCATATTGGGAAGTCATGGAGTTACTCTTAAAGTCAAGGCCATATTTACCCTCCTAGATCAAATCCTACATTAGAGAACCAAGAGTTAGTCTTATCATGTAAGTATCATTTTGCTGCTTAAAAACTACTTTTAGCTCATTATCTCTCGTGTTTAAGAGGAGCTCAGGCTGCCATAAATTGCTGTTCTGGTTTATATGAGTCATTCATCAATGGATACAACTCTCAAATCACATGGGCAAGTTTTTGATAGGGGTTGCCTGCATGTAGCATCAATATGTGAATCTGAAAAATAATTTAATCTATCACAAACTAAGCTAATACTAAGGTCAAATTTTAAAAGGGCCATTTTAAAAGTCATCTTACAGAGAGATAGAAACTCACCCAGAAGTTTCTTCCAGGACTTGATGAGAGTTTTAGCCAGAGTCTGAACCTCCTCATCTGAACTCTGTTTCCTCACTGCGTTCACTGACATCCCAACTCTGGTTGACTACAATTCATATGTTCCAAAAGACAAGAGAAAAAGAAGGATAAAATAAACCACTTAAAAATAAGCTTCAGATTTTAAACTAAGACTTTAAAGAATTACCTTTTTTTGCGACTAAAAATTTTTGATTCTGTTCATGTTTTTATGTTTATGCAAAGCTATACCATAATCAAAATTCAGCTAACATTTATTAGAGACGTCTGCAAAGTATCATCTTACACTATGTAGGCCACAGATAGGGCTAACAGACAGAGTAGTGGACACATTGTGTACACATTTTTAAATGATTATCGTTTTGTCCCCATGTGGTCAGAACCTTTGTGTGAAATTTGTTCTATTATTGTTGAAAGCAAAGAAAAAGTTTTGTAAATGAAAAGTTGAGAATAAAAATGCAAACCAGAAATTAAAGTCAAGTTTCATTTTTGATTACATTTTTTCAAATTCCATGTACAAAATCTGTTCTTTGCTTGAAA